AATAAACCCACAGCTCTGTCTGTTCACTGCTTGACCCTCAACACAGAGCTTTGTCTTGTTCTTGGGGGGATTTACTGTATGCTGTTAGACACTGATTGCTAGTAGTGTAAGCCGCTTGGATGCTTTTCCTATCCGTTTGCTAGCAGCTATTTGTGAGGTTCCAGTTCGGGAGTTTGGAGTGCTATTTTGTATGCAGTTCGGGAGTTTGGTGTTCTGCAGTAGCTGTGCCTGTATCTCTGGAAAGGGGGACGATCGCCTAAACGGTTTTTACCCCTTGTGTGCAAAACGGTCCGTTACATCTTTCATTATACGAATGGGCTCCATGGCATAGCTATCTGGGGTATCACCGCTCAAACAGGGCAAGCATTTCCTGCTGCTCTATTACATTGTCTGCCTACCTTTAAGTCATCAGAAATAATCACCCCTAAATCCCTTTCCTCAGATGTTAACTCTATCAAATATTCTGTACTCTGCCCTTGGGTTTTTACGTCCAAGATGCATTATCTTGCACTTATCCACATTAAATGTCAGCTGCCACAACTCTGACCATTTTTCTAGTTTACCTAAACCATTTGACATTTGGCTTATCCCTCCTTAAACATCAACCCTGTTACATATCTTAGTATCATCAGCAAAAATACATACTTTACCATGAAGAGTTTCTGCAAGTACAGATCCCTGAGGTACCCCACTGGTGACAATCCTATGCTTCGAATATATACCATTAACTACAACCCTCTGTTTCCTGTCATTCAGCCACTGCCTTACCCATTCGACAATATTGGAATTCAAACTTAAAGATTGCAGTTTATTGATAAGCCTTCTATGTGCAACAGTGTCAAAAGCCTTACTGAAATCTAGGTAAGCAATGTCTACTGCACCAGTTTAGAATATGGGTGCTCCTGGCACAAGCAGCTATTTTAGTTTTCCATTTCATATCAGGAAGATTAAAGTCACCCATGATGATAACTGCCCACTTCATTGTCATTTTAGCTATTTCCTCAACTAGTAGATTATCTAACTCTTCTATTTGTCCTGGGGGCCTATAAATCACACCTACATGAGTTATTGTGTGGCAGGGCTTTATTTAACAGGCCCCTTCCCTGTAGTGTTTAGCTATACTAGGCATCCACTGGCTACTCACTATTTAGTAGATATTCCCCAACCCACCATGTAGCAGGTGGGGGCATAAGGGAATTTTTTAATTTCACTTATACTAATATGGGGGTTGAATTGACTACCAAAGGCTTATTTACTTTTTTTTTCTTTTACATTTAAATGTGGAGTCTAGCTAGAAAGTGCTGACCAGTCACCACACAGTTAACCCTTGGCACCCAAGGTTTTTTCAGTATATTCCTGCTGGTTGCTAGCCCTTCCGGTGGGCAAATAATTCAGGTTTTTAAAATTTTAAATGTAAAGTCCATATGTCAGCCGTCTATCTTGTTTGGAGCCTGCTCTACAAAACACAGAAATTGTTAAAAAAAAAATGTCTGGAGTTTGCATTGCAAATAGCCCTATTTATTGAATATAGAAAAACAATCCGGCAGGTCCATTAGGAATGCAAAATTCTGAGTTTAATGAATTGCCCTGCATGTATCGGATAGACAAATATTATAAGACTGATAAGGTGTTATATGAAACAAACATGCACTTCATATACAAAACATAAAAATAAACACAATTTATATACTATTAACAAGTCAATAAAATCTTCATGTTATATATTCTGGAGAAAAGACAGTGTTAATGAAAATGCAGACTGTTACATCAATGTACAGCAAAATCAACCAAGCTGAATAGTTACATTTGTAAAAATTTGGCTATTATGGTATAAAATGCTGAATTCCTGAACATACTTAATTTACTAATCCTTTGTAAAATATAGAAATAAATGACTTCCTCCATTAACTTTGCATTACATGTCATTAAAATAGAATGTACTAGTAATAACTTACCAAATCGCTCCACGTTTCCATAAACATTTTCCATGCTAATCTGCATTCTTGCTCCCTGGTTCATTCTTTCTGGTTTGGTTTGCAACTGCTTATTAAATTATTGTGCATAATCAGTTCTAACTTTTCTTTGTAAAAGCTATTTTTTCAACTGTTTACATCCTTCCTTATTTATTGTTTCAGAAAGCATTTGTAATTCGCTTACAGTTTCACTTCCACTTTTTATGAAAATGTCATGTAGATGTGAAAATTGATTAAAATTTTAACACAACTAAAATATATGAGAAGAATTGATGCCCTCTCTAGGCCTCTACGCTCTGCTGAAGACCTGCGTCTATCCTCTTTTCATACTCTTATGCTCACTTCCAAGACTTCTCTACATAGTTACATAGCTGAAAAGAGACTTGCATCCATGAAGTTCAGTCTTTCTCACATGTGTTTTTGCTGTTGATCCAAAAGAAGGTAAATAACCCAGTCTGAAGCACTTCCAACTTGCAACAAACTAGGAAAAAATTCTTTCTTGACCCCCAAAACGACAGTCAGATATCTCCTTAGATCAAGCAGCTATTACCCCACTAATTAGAATTTATATCTGTAACAAACGCTGATATTGCAGTTACCCATTCGTCTGTTTCCTCCCGGACTGCTAGAGACTAGTGATGTCGCGAACCCGAAATTTTCGGTTCGCGAACGGCGAACGCGAACTTCCGCAAATGTTCGCGAACCGGCGAACCGCCCGAAACGCCATTGACTTCAATGGGGAGGCGAATTTTAAAACACACAGGGACTCTTTCTGGCTACAATAGGGATGGAAAAGTTGTTTCAAGGGGACTAACACCTGGACTGTGGCATGTCAGAGGGGGATCCATGGCAAACTCCCATGGAAAATTACACAGTTACATACAGTCTGGTTTTAACTATAAAGGGCAGAAATCACCTAACATTCCTAAATCACAACTGGCCATGGATTGACACCCGGACAGGCGACATATATTGACACCTTGACATATGGATTGACACCTGTCCCCAGAGCCCCTGATACACACTGACAGAGCAGAATAGGGACTGTTCCCCTACATCGGGTCACTTGGCAGATATGGGACAATGACTTTGTTACAACCGGCTTGTAACGGGCCCTTTAAATGGCAAATTGCCCTGTTTCCCTGGGGCCGTGGAGCCTCTTTGCCAGCCTCCCCGCATGAGACTATGGCCCCTGGGAGATTGTGAAATGTATGCACTTTTATTTGGTGTGTATGGCCCTTAAGACTACCAGGCATGTATTGGGGCTTATGGACTCTTTATGTGACTGGTGCTGGCCCTTTAAACACCTTTTTTGGGACATCAGGAAGATTGGGACACTGCCCCTTTAAGGCCGTGTCCCCAGACTTGTTGGGACACGGCCCCTTTAAGACGGTGTCCCCTGTGTCCCCAGACCTGGTGCAAACCCTTTGTGCCTGCCTTGCTATTTCCCATTTGGTTCAGTAAATGGGAAATTATTTCAGCTGCAGAGACTAAGTCCCATTCGGCGATGGGACTTAGTCGTTTTTTCAGCC